CTGAAGCGAGTATTTCCAAATTTGGTGCTCCTCAGCTTTTCTCTGTTTTTCCTCTGCATTGAAAACTTACAGGATGTATTTCATTTTGCACTAGCATTTGTGAGCATGCAAATAGGACTAGAGACATAGTTTTCTTTCTTTTTTAAGATTTTATTTATTTATTTGACAGAGAGAGACACAGCGAGAGAGGGAACACAAGTAGGGGGAGTGGGAGAGGGAGAAACAGGCAGGAGCCCGACATTGGGCTCTGGGGCTCCATCCCAGGACCCTGGGATCATGACCTGAGCCGAAGGCAGACGCTTAACGACTGAGCCACCCAGGCGCCCCTAGAGACGTATTTCTCATGATTGTTTTCCAATGCTGTTCTAAAACCAATATATCATTTTATCATCTCTTAATAGTAATAGAATTATTTATTAAGGAATAACTTCCTGAAAATTGGTCCTACCAAGTTCCCCTCAGCCTTGGCCAGTTGGTGTGGTGCGGTCTGAGACCCTGTCATTGGGTGTGACTGTAAACAGGCCCAGCAAAGGGCCTGGCCTTTTGAGCCCTCGGACTGTGTTAAGGACCCTGAGGAATGTTTTGGCTTTTAGGCGTCTTGGGTTTCATGTTTTTCCCACTGCGTGTTGTGTGGCTTTTTCTTTCTGTCTGAGGGAGGGGTGGTTATGTTAATGCCCAGCTCTCATCGGACCAGTGTGAATTCAGATTCAGCTCTGCTTCTGGTTAGCTTAGCCTCGGTGTCCTCATTTGTTTTTTTTTGTTGTTTTGTTTCTTTTCCGGTGTCCTTATTTGTAAAGTGAGCGTGTTACTACCCGCTCCGCAGTTTTATTGTGACTGTTAGAAATAGTGCACATAATGTGCCTAGCATAATGCTTTAGTGAAGGTAGCAGAAGGGGTTTCAAGAAATAAGTAATGCTCAGCATTTTGGTTCTTTTTTTTTTTTTTGAAGATTTTATTTATTTATTTGACAGAGACACAGCGAGAGAGGGAACACAAGCAGGGGGAGTGGGAGAGGGAGAAGCAGGCTTCCCGCTGAGCAGGGAGCCCAATGCGGGGCTCGATCCCAGGACCCCGGGACCATGACCTGAGCCAAAGGCAGACGCTTAACGACTGAGCCACCCAGGTGCCCCTCTTCACATTTTATTTTTAAGGAATCTCTACACCAACTTGGGGCTTGACCTTACAACCCTGAGGTCAAGAGTCACATGCTCTATTGACTGCGCCAGCCAGGTGCCCCCACTTTGGTTCATTTTTATTTTAATCTGGATCTCCCAAAGTACCGTGCTTTAATGAAAAAAAAAAAAAAAAGCCCTTTAAAGAAGGTGATAAGTCATGGAGGCCATGTTACATCCTGAAGTATTTCTGGCTTTTTGTACCAGCCACGTGGAGAACAGTGAAAGAGAGTGCACTGATGCTTTTTCATGAGTTCACGTGTTTTTTTTTTTTAAGATTTTATTTATTTATTTGACAGAGAGAGACACAGTGAGAGAGGGAACACAAGCAGAGGGAGTGGGAGAGGGAGAAGCAGGCTTCCCACTGAGCAGGGAGCACGACGCGGGGCTTGATCCCAGGACCCTGGGATCATGACCTGAGCCTAAGGCAGATGCTTAACAACTGAGCCACCCAGGCGCCCCTTGAGTTAGTTCACTTCTTAAGCCTAGACAGTAACAATTTCTCTCATAGAGGCTTAAAAGCAATTTAGTTAGTAAAAGCATGGGGCAAAGTGAGAATTTTCTCCACTTGACAGGGAGCTTCTAGACTCGCAGAAAGGACTCTGACACATGGTTAAATTTCACCTTGATGGAACCTAGCTTCAGGCAATTATTCTGCTACTTGGAGCTCTTACTTTTACTCTAATCAAATTTGTGTAAAAAAAAAAAAAAGTAAGATTTTTTTTCTGTCTTTATTACAGAAATTTTCAAATACACACACAGTTCTGTGAGCCCACATGGACCATCACTCAACTTCAGCAACTGTCAACATTCTGTCTTTACAGACATAACTATGTTTTTAGTCCAAGTTTTCTCTTAATAAAGAAACGTTTCTAGGGGTGCCTGGGTGGCTCAGTCAGTTAAGCATCCGACTCTTGATCTCAACTCAGGTCTTGATCTCAGGGTGGTGAGTTCAAGCCCCATGTTGGGCCCCACATTGGGTGTGGAGCTTACTAAAAAAAAAAAAAAGACATTTCTAAATTCCCCTGGGACAAAAGTGAAGGTTCCCCACCCTCCATCCCCTCCTACCCCACCCAGGGAACCTAAAAATAAGGCTGTTTTCTGAAACTTAAACTACGAAGTCAATGTGTCGTCATTAAGAGCAGGTGAGAGCTACTCTCTGGGACATAGTGGCCTCCCCGGCCCTCAGGATTTGTTGTGAAGAGACCATCACATCTACAGGAAGAATGTTCCAGTCAGGAAGAGGCATCAGTCAGGAAAGGAGGTATCCCAGAGGCACACCTTGACTGTGGTATCTTGACTGAGGTGTGTCCTGAGTCGTCTGCTCTGCGCCTCTGGGCTGCCTGGTAGATCAGACGGAGCAGGGTGTTCATGGGAGTCTTCCAGCAAACTTTTCCTTATTCTGACTCCAAGGGACCTGCTCCGTTTCGGCCTGCTTTCTGAGGTGGTGTGTTGATTGATGTGTACATCAACACGCTTGGCCGGTGTTTCTCAGCATCCTCCTGTGCCCTCTGCCAGCAAGCACCCGCATCCCTGCGTCTCGTCAGCTGGGGCACCGCAGGTGTCTGAGCTGACAGGGATGAGGGCCAGATTCTGGGCAGTGCGACTTAGCTAAGATCGCTGCTCACCAGCCCTGGATAGGGTCTTCTCTTCATTATATACTCTCAGCCCCTTCTTCACCTGCACCGAGCGTGTACCCGGCACCCTTGCTCAGGAAAAGCTACCACATTTCCACCCTTGACGAGGTAGGTGGTCAGCCCGTCGCATTCTCTGCTGTGGTGTCTGGAGGTTCCCATCTTAGCTGCTTCGAGCTTTGTTCGGCATTCTCTCAGGTTTTTGTTTTGAGATGCAGTTCACCTGTGATACAGTTCACCCATTTAAAGGGTGCAGCTCCTGTCTCGGATTCTTTGTCTGAAAGACTGTCCCTGAAACTGCTCAGGAAGCAAGGACACCAAGCAGTCCGAGTGATTGGCAGGGCACTGGATAGGCTGTTCACCTCTGTAGCAGTTGGGTCCTCCCCGCCTTGAGGTCCTTTTCACTTGTGGGTCATGTGTGGTTCCTGTGAGGCGCTTCTCCGTCTTGTCTTGGCAATAGCAGTGCTGCCTCAGACATTTGACAGCTGCCATTGAGCAAATCATACACCAGAGAACTCTTTTCCTACGGTGTTTTCCTTGGGCCTTGTTGATGGTTTATGTTTTGTGACCTTTGGCACGTTGTCAAAAGTACCTGCAACAGGTGCACACCCAGCTGATTCTGGTTAATGTGTTATGGACAGGAGGTGCCCCTATTTTTTCTTAAACTGCTTAATTAAAGTATACATACCATAAAATCAGCATACAATCCAGTGATTTTTAGTACATTTACAGAGTTGTACAACCATCCCCACAATCTAATTTTAGAATATTTCCATCATCCCCAAAAATCCCTGTGCCCATTTGCAGTCCTTACCATCCCCCAACAGCCCCCCACCCCACCCCGCCCCAGCACCAGGCAAACAGTAATCTACTTCCTGTCTCTCTTGATTTGCCTTTTCTGGACATATTAAATGATTCTTTTCATATGAAGTATCCAGTTAAGGTACTTTTTAATTGGTGATTTAAAGGATGGTTGCTTTCAAATTAACAGAAAATTTCTTACTTCAGAATATGCTTTTTCCGCTGCACTAGTTACCTGTGATTTATCGGTGTGTATGAGAGTACCTTGAGGTTTTGCTCAGTACTACAAGCCTTTTTGTCCATAGATCAATGTTTTGTGGAACATTTGGTTTCATGCCCATTATTGTGACATATTTTAGGAGAAACGAGGTCTTGCCCTCTGCTTTCGAAAGCTGTCCCCTAGTTAGTGAAGTAAACCTAACAAACATGAAAATAATCAGGAGTAAATGACAGCATATAACCAAGTGTTGGGCCCTGGGATACTTTTATTTGAGATGTTTATTGAGCACCCTGCTCAGATTGGAATGCCCTCATGCCAGAAGACAGAGGTGGGTGGAGGCCAGGGAAGGTAAGGGAGGTGATGCGGACTCAGGATCCCAGGAAGATTATAGGGTGCTAGGGCAGACGTTGAATCACATTGTCAGGTCACTCCCTTTTCAGCTTGCTTTCCATCCTCCTGATTCCTCCAGGAGAAAGTCTTATTTTGGTGCAGGTAGTACCTCCAGCACTTGCTTATCTCTACCTTCTTAAGAGACAGCAGCTATCTAGGCCTTTTGGAGGCAAATGTAGCTGGCTGGTATTTCATAGCATTTTTATTTCCCTTGTACTAGAGGAGGGTCACATTTGGGGGCACCTTGAAACCCAGGCCCCACTTGGAATGTTTGGATGTGGCCGTTACAAGTACTGGAGCGGAGGAGTGCCCTCAGCTGCCTTGGGAGGCGGGAGGACTAGAGTTAGGACCTTCTTTCTGAGGCTCTTGTGGAAATTTGAGTGTGAAGTGGTTGACCTGGTCAAACAGTGGATAAGGAAGCTTAAGACACATCCTTTAATGCGAGGCTCCCCCTTGGAGTCAGCCGTGTTTTTTGCCTTTGAAAGCCATATTTCTACACTGAATGGTGTCCGTCTTTAATAAATGGGGCAGGGACAGAATCAACATGCAACTGAAATACAGTTAAGTTGGGTGGGTTGGTATCTTTGTTAGATGATGTGTTTCTTTCCTAAACAAGGAAGGAATCACTAAGCCTGGTGGCAGCACTTTAGAAACGGCTCACAGAGAAGCTATGCTGGATCTTGGGGCTCGGGAAAACTGTGGGCCTCCTCTGATGGGTCTGTGTGTCTTCTCTGTTGGCAGGATTGCCCTGCCAAGCCAACTGGTCTCTGCTTTGTGTTTTAGACTTCTGTCGAGTTCCGAAGACAGAGGGAAGATGCCAAGCCTCCTCCCCTAGATGGTGGTACAATGTCACTGATGGATCTTGCCAGCAGTTTGTGTATGGTGGCTGTGAAGGGAATAAAAATAACTACATGACCAAGGAGGAGTGTCTTGAGAAATGTGCTGGTGTCACAGGTAAGACATTGGTCCCTGGGGAAATGGTGTAACCTAGAGACAGTTTATTAACTGGGATGTGATGCCTTTTGCATTGTGCCCATTCTTCACGGCTGAACCTGGGGGACTTTTTTTTTTTTTTTTTAAAGATTTTATTTATTTGACAGAGACACAGTGAGAGAGGGAACACAAGCAGGGGGAGTGGGAGAGGGAGAAGCAGGTCTCCCGCCAAGCAGGGAGCCCGATGCGGGGCTCGATCCCAGGACCCCCGGGATCATGACCCGAGCGGAGGGCAGATGCTTAATGACTGAGCCACCCAGGAGATCCTGGGGGATGTTTTTATTTATTTATTTATTTATTTTTTAAAGATTTTACTTATTTATTTGACAGAGAGAGACACAGCGAGAGAGGGAACACAAGCAGGGGGAGTGGGAGAGGGAGAAGCAGGCCTCCCACCGAGCAGGGAACAGGCTGGGCACTGTTTTGGGATCATACGGGCAAGTCCCTCACCTTTTGGGGGGCAACTGGCAACCGTACCAGATGGTGACTGAGGAAAATACCATTTATTGTACTTTTTTTGTTGTCTGCTATGATCCGGCATGGGAGCAGGAATTAAAGGGAAACATTTTTTTACTACCTTTTCTGTCCTTCCTCCACTAAGAGTCAGCTGTGGCACGTGTGCCTGCCTGTTTGAGTTTCTCCTTATTTTTTAGGAAAACAGTTGAAATTGTAAGAACACAAGCAGTGAACAGTGGGCATTCAGACAGGATGTTGCTACAAAGGGTCACGGGTTCTTGAGTTTCGCTGGGAGAAGGCAGACAGCTGTCTCCCTACAGGTGGTCCAGAGTCTGAGGGCCCAGAAAGCTCGTTTGTTGGCAGCTGAGTGTGGCTCCACTGAGTCTGGTTGAAGCGTCTCTCCCGAGTCTGGGAGGAGAGCTAACACTGCCAGAGCAGCTCGCTGCTGGAGCCTTCCGCCAGCATATCCTCTGCCAAGCAGGCATCCTCTGTGGGAAGCCAAATGAGAATGAGAATGTCAGTGTATTAATTTATAATGAGAACCAGAACTACTCAGGGGACCAGACACTCGGGTCTCGGAGTCTGCTGTGGTGTTAGCCCATGTGGGCGAGCCTCTCCGCTGGACTCCCAGAAGATCGCTTGCTGTGGAGAGGTGCAGAACAAGGCGCGCTGGTTTGTGATGTGGATGTTTGATGCCATCAGGTGATGCCGGCCCCGTGCCTCTGCCCCGGCTCTGCTGGGACCAGCGGGGAGGCAGGGTGGCCAACTCCTGTCCTTCCTGGACCCTGCCGATGCTTCCTTTTTCCTACTTCCCTGACCAGCGGGCCTCTCTGCCCCGCGCCATCACTCTGTGTGCACGTGTGAGATAAACTCTACATAGCTGCACAGGTCGCCACAGCTCGGTGGCCTCGAGTATGCTGAGACTGCTGCATACCTTTTAAATTCATGGGGTGAGTTAATACAGTTAAACAGATTATTTGGCCTTGGAAGCCATTCTGTCTTTTTAAAGTCATTTCAGACATCTTTGATCTGATTATCAGCGAGGGATCTTAAAGTTTAACCCACAGGGGCAGTCTTGGTTCCTTATTTCCAAGTTCCAGCAGGCTTGTGGTCCGGCACGTACATCGAAGGGCCCACCACAAAAGGAGAAATAGGAGTCACCATGAGAGGCACGTGGGACCACGGCTGCTTGGGAACTCTGCTCGCTGTATGTCATGGGGCATTCCTGAGGTGCACTTTCTCACTGTGTCGTCTGTCCTCTTGTAGAGAACACCATTGATGATCTGGCCACCAGCAGGAATGGAGCAGATTTCTCTGTCCCACGTGGTAGGTTCTTAAAACCACCGAGGATGGAGTGAGGGCCATCTGGACCATGAAAGGACATGTGTGATTTGGGAGTCGTATAAGGGCTCCCACCTCCCGGTCTGTTTATTCCGAATTGACAGGCCGGGGCTCTGCCTGGGCTGCCAGCTTCCGGCTCCTGGCTGGCATCCTTACACTGGGGAGTTCACGTTGTCCAGCGGACAAGAGGGCCGAGGGATGCTACAGTGCTTCCGGGCTCGCCTCCGCTTCCTCCTGGGGGACAAGGCATTGTGGATGTTGCTGTGGCCTGCAGCGCAGGCCCCTTCCTTCTCCCTGGGCTGGCCTCAAGTCCCCTGGCCTCTGCCTGCTGTGCTCTCACTGGCCCACCCCACCTCTCCTTGCCTCTTCTGTCTCCTTGGTTCTCGGTTGTCCTTGCCGTCCCCCTCCCTGTGCTGAGTCCTCTGTCTTCTGCCACCCCCGCCTCCATTCCCACTGCAGTCCTTGATCTCGAGCTTTGTGTTAACTTGCTTTGTAGTGCTGACAGTAGCTGCCCCCTTCCTCCTACATGCTTGGAGGATTCTGCATGCATCAGGAGCCTGGGGTGAGTGGTCCAGATGCACTGGCAAGTCCAGCCCAGCTTTCTTGAAGGCCAGTTCCTAGGCAGTGGGCTCTGTTGGGCAAGACCTGCTGTGGAGGAGGGACTCTGCCCCCATCCCATTTAGGGCAGCCTCCCAGTTGGCCAGTGGCTCTGCACTGATTGCAGCCTTGGCTTTGGTCCTCTAGTTCTGACATCAGTGCTCACGTGAGAGTGAGTGTTTATTCAGTGGTTGGCTGGCTCGTTAGAGTCACTTTCCAGTTTTGCTGGGCCAGGAATCCTGCGACTGTCCTGACCATTGCTTTGCCTAGGTTCACTCTTTATTCCTAAGCTGGCCTCCAAGGTCATCTAGAATCCTCAGGCACTGGCATGTTATCTCTGTTTTAGAAGAAAATATCTCCAGGAGAGTGAGGGGCCTTCTCGCTATGTCAGAGAATGAGCAAGACCATCTTCCTCATCGCCCCAGAAATTGTGGCTGGAATGAGTTTCCGTAGTGACCCCTGAGGTGACAGGCAGGCCTCACCATCCAGCATGCATTCCAGTTTATGATAGAGCCCATGAGGACTGGGAGGCGACAGGCCTACCCATGGAGGGGACTCCACTCCTAGGTGCCGGCGGGTCCTTGCTCCCTCAGTGGGCCCTGTTGGTCTCTGCTCCAGCCAGGCTGTGTGTACTGTGTCCATCCTAGCCTCCCTGACTTGGATGTTTCTGTTTTAGTTTCCAGAAAACAGGATTCTGATGACCTCTCCAGTGATATTTTCGACTACGAAGGTATAACTTTTTAAAAATATATATGTATGGGGGGGTGCCTGGGTGGCTCAGTCATTGGGCGTCTGCCTCCGGCTCAGGTCATGATCCCAGGGTCCTGGGGTCGAGCCCCGCGTCAGGTTCCCTGCTCAATGGGAGACCTGCTTCTCCCTCTCCCACTCCCCCTGCTTGTTTCCCTCTCTCACTGTCTCTCTCTCTGTCTAATAAATGGATAAAATCTTAAAAAAAAAAAAAAAAATTATGGGAAAAACATGTTTTCTTCCTTAGTTGGGAGTTGAGACACACCTGAGTATTTCCACTAAGGAAGGCTTAGCGTGGAGCTTCCCGACCTTCCGCAGGTGGTGGAACTCACAGGCACGCCCCAGGGCTGCGGGAAGCGAGTGTGGCACAGCCGTGGGTGGGGACACTTCCCAGCGGGAGGCCGTGTGGTATGCTGGCTCCTGCCTCTCCCCGGCTGGGGGGCTCTGCCTCCTGAGGATGAAACGAGGGACCCATGACAGATCTCTTAGAGACCAAGTCAGTATGCGTGAAGGGCCTAGAACAGTGCCTGACATGGAGTGATCTCCTTACCAGTGGGGTCTGGCTGTAAGGAGGAAGATACCCCAAAACATGGAGGAGTGTCCAGTGGGCCCGACTGGCCACGTCTGTATTTATAGGCCCCTCTAGCAGAGAGCTGTGTCTCTGTTGGCTGGCAGCAGTGTGACTGCTCAGGAACATTCCAGCTCCGCTTCACAGCTGAGCCCTGCTAATTTGTCCTCCTTGGGTTGTGTTGTTCCCAGAATACTGCACTGCCAAAGCAGTCACTGGGCCTTGCCGCGCGTCCTTCCCACGCTGGTACTTCAATGCAGAGAAGAACTCTTGTGACAACTTCATCTACGGAGGGTGCCGGGGCAATAAAAACAGCTATCTCTCTAAGGAGGAGTGCATGCACCACTGCTTTGGTGAGCCTGCCTGATTCCTAAATGCAAGAAACAATGGTGGGTGGGTGGGTGAGGCCTCTTGTGAGGACCGTGGGATGGGTCCATTTCCCCATCCCTAAAAGGAAGACCTTGGCAATGCTGTCATTTGGACGCTACCATTCTCGGGCTCCCTTGTGGGGAAGAGGGAGGCTTTGGACCCAGCTGTTGCACAGATGTGTCCTAGGTTCTCACCAGGGTGGCAAGGCCTCAGAACCCTCAAAAGAGCTGGAAGAAGTCCCTCAGAAAGAGCCTCTTGTGAACACCTAGTTGGTGGCAGCTCTGGAGGGCAGGAGGACTGTGAGCTGACCTTAGGGTTGTGTGTTCTTTTTCAGGCAAGCAGTTGTATCCTGTTCTACCCCGTGGCACTAAAGGTAAGAGGCCTCTGGCCCTCCTCCACCCGCCTTCCTTGACTAAGCTCTGCAGTGTTTTTGTAGGCTCATGTGGTCTCTGACACATAATCCTTGACCATAAACATCTTTTGGGTTGAAAGTCCTGTTTCTGCACGAGAATGGTCAGACAGCTTGGGACATACGGTGGATGTTTGTCCCACCATGCAGTGTAATGGGGCTGGAGGGAGGCAGTCTCCACCTGGGCGCCCTGGGGTGACTGGAGGACGAGTTCTGCTGTTAGGCTTGTGGGGTCTGCTGCACACAGGCCTGAGACTGGCTCCAGATTTGGAGGGAACTTTGCTGCCGTGGGGTGTGCTGAGTTGGTCACGGTGACAGGAAGTTGTAGAGCCCTTGCTGTGTGTGGGGCCAAGCAAGGTAGGCCCAGTGCTGTCGTCCCCAAGCAGGCTGGTCTGACAAGACCCCGGGCCTCCTCTCACTTTTGTTTCGGATTCCGAGCCTGAGGCATGGATGATCGGGTTTGCACAAAGGACTGGCCACACAGGTCTGGCCTCTTTCCACCTGTTTTCCTGTTCAGGAGCCCAGAGCCGGCCTGCGTGTCTGCTGTGTTTTAGAGCAGCGAAGCTAGAATCTGGGTTGCCCGGCACGGGGCAGAACGCAGCCCGGGTATGGAGGGTTGCGGGTGGAGAAGGGGCTGCCCCTGTCCATCCTCTAGCCACATGGGGAGAGGGAGCCAGGCAGCTGCCGTGGGAGGCCACATTCTTTAGCTGGAGCCCCGCCTGAAGGAAAGCGCCTTGGCTGACCAGGGAGACAGCGGTGGGGCAACCACTGTTCAGTTTACCGGGCAGTGAGGTCCCTTCCCGGCGCCGCTCTGAACGCGCCCTTGCCTCTGCCCTCACCTCATTTGGCACGCAGCCGCCCCGGCCACTGCCGGCCGCATCCTTCTCTGGCTGGTCAGTGTGCTGTGTGACCACACAACCTTGGGGTTTTATGTTTACGCACGCCAGAGGTGTGTGCTTTTTACGTCCTGGTACCCATTTGGTGGCTTGGGACTCTCGCACCAGTTGCCCCTGAGACGTGGAAATGCACAGTGGAAGCGGGATTCTTTTTCAGAAGGAACACAGAGAGCCACTGGGTGCACGTAGCGCAGCGCCTCCTTTTCTCCGGAACCTGCTGCTCGGGACTGTAGACTCCTTGATGACTTCCCAGGCGGGCGGGTGCCCGTTCTCCAGACCCTCCCAGGCTGGGGTCAGGGGAGGTCTGGCGCAAGGGCTGCTGGTCCCCGCCCTGAGCCCACCTGCACGAGTCCCGTGTGAGCCCTGTGCAGCCCTGCACTGGCTCTGCTCCTCCTCGTCCTTCCGGGTCTGAAGCCTTTCTCTCCTCCACAGTGGTGGTCCTGGCGGGGCTCTTCGTGATGGTCCTGATCGTCTTGCTGGGCGCCTCCGTGGTCTGCCTGATGCGGGTGGCCCGGAGGAACCAGGAGCGCACGCTCAGCACCGTCTGGAGCTCTGGGGACGACAAGGAGCACCTGGTGAAGAACACCTACGTCCTGTGAAGGCCCTGCGAGCCAGAGGCCGCCCTTCCTCAGGCTTCCCTGCGGATGACAAGCACCTGGGATGGGAGGGGAGACCAGTGTAGCATGTGTGTGTGCTTTTTAAAGTAGAGTGATTGGTTTGTATTTGTGCGATCATTAGGGCTTCGGGTCTGTTTGTTACTCCAGAAGGTAAGAGGGCTGCTTCCTGCTCTCCTGGCTGGGTTTGTGTTGGGAACTCTCTTGGAGGAGGGCTCTGCCTCACACTGCAGGTGGTCTGGCGCCAGATCAGAGTTGGCTGCTCTTCAGTTTAGTTCTTTGCTCCAGGTCTTAGTTTTCTTGGCTTACATTCAATAATCCTGTAGTGTCCTTTCCCATCACAAAAGTAATGTCTTAATAGTTTCCTTTATTTGTGTGTTTTTGTTTTTTGTTTTGTTTTTTTAGTAAGCAGAAACAAGCCTTTTTTTATTAGGATTCTGAAAGGAAGAGAAGAAAATGTACAAGTTTAATAAAAAGGGCCTTTTAAAATAAATTTCAGCAAGTGCTTGCTTTCTTTATGGGATTGCTGATTTAAACTCTACCAAAATTAACACAGAACAACACTGTGAGATGTCCCGTTCTAGAAATGGACTCCTTAAAAAAATTTCATCTTTCAAATCTTTTTGAATGAAATACATCTTACATTGCAACTGGGTGCCCATAAAATTTCACCAAACAACACTTAGCCTTATCACCTGTGGTAATCTCTGGCATTTCCTTCTTCTGTGTCACTTTTGAAAAATTCTAGACATACCTCACTCAATTGGTTTTTGTTTTTCTTTGTTTTGTTTTTGTTGTTGTTGGTTTTTTTTAGATTTTTTTATTTATTTGCGAGAGAGAGAATGAGAGACAGCATGAGAGGGAGGAGGGTCAGAGGGAGAAGGAGACTTCCTGCTGAGCAGGGAGCCCGATGCGGGACTCGATCCCAGGACTCCAGGATCATGACCTGAGCCGAAGGCAGTCGCTTAACCGACTGAGCCACCCAGGCGCCCTTTGTTGTTGTTTTTTTTTAAATGATGACCCACTACAGACTAATCCACACCTTGAAACACTGCCTTTGAGGGCACAGGAGGCTTGGAGTGAGGATGCATCCTGTCCAGGGGAAGACCGAGACCTTCCTGAGACTGGAGTGGCTTTGACCAAAATCACTTTGGCATCCATGATTTTCATCTTTCCCCAAGGCTCTGTAGTCTCTCTCGGGTCTCCATGTGCTTCTGCAGTGAAATGGAGACAGGGTACCATCTGGCTGAATTCAGCCTCCAGGCTTGGCCCCAATTCTGCTGCTTACCTGTGGGTGTTCCCTTCTTGCCTCTAGACTCTGGAGGCTCTTCCTTTCTTCCTCCCTGTCCACACATGTAGTCATGAACATGGAGCAGCTTTGGGGGAACCCATGGGGTCAGGCAGGCGTCCTGGGGCCTCCACTTGCATGGGTGACTCAGGAAGCTGGGCAAGGCCTCCTTCCCTTCCACCCTTCTTAGAAATCCCCTCAGGCCAAAAAAAGTCACATTCTGCGCACTGGGGGAGAGACTTGCACCCCATAGGGCTTAGAAATCTATTCCAGAGGCAAGTTGGGCAAATACCTCAAGTCCTTCTTTGTAGCCTTCCTCATTTGTGGAGACGTTGCTCAGGGATTCTGGCCCTGTCCCTGCCAAGCCTTCTAGGCAGCCTGGCAGTCTAGCCTCAGAGATGATGGTGAGAAAATGAAACCTGCCTGCCGTATCCAGATAGATAGGGACCCAGCTCTGGGAGAGCCTGTGGTCCAGAGAAGGAGGCGTTGGGAAGAGACTCTCCACCCACCATTCTCGGTGTGCAGCAGTGAGCTGGTCACTCAACTCCTTTGAACCTCCAGTTTCCTCACTTGTACTCTGGGTGGATGTGAGGGTTACGTGAGATCATAGATCACCCAAGGGAAGTGCTCAGTAAGGGGGCCTCCTCCTTCAGGGGGCTGGTGTCCACCTCTGCCAACCTGCTTGTCTCCTTATTCCTCTTCAGTAGCTGGCAGCTCTCCTCTACACCCAGCCTGCCACCGCATGAGCCACCCTCAAGCTCCCTACAGGGGACCTTGAGCCCAGTGATGCCTCTGGCTGAGCAGGGGGCCTTTCTCCACCTACTCAAGCAAGGCTTGTCTCTCCATAACTTAGTCATGTGAAAGATAAAAAGTGGATTTTTTTTTTTTTTAAGATTTTATTTATTTGAGAGAGAGAGCACAAGGGGCAGGGGCAGAGGGAGAGGGAGAAGCAGACTCCCCACTGAGCAGGGAGCTCTGACGTGGGGCTCGATCCCAGGACCCTGGGATCATGACCTGAGCCGAAGGCAGACGCTTAACCGACTAAGCCACTCAGGTGCCCCTCTTTATTTATTTTTAAAGATTTTATTAAGTAATCTCTACACCCAATGAGGGGCTCAAACTCAACAACCCCAAAATCAAGAGTCGCATGCTCCACTCTCTGAGCCAGCCAGGCGCCCCTGTGTTTGGATTTTAAAAGAAACTGTTGGGAATCACTTTAAAGTAATTCTGCAGTAGGAAGATCATCAAGTGAATTCTCTTAACACCATCAAGGCCAGTTGAACTTTAGGTTTTCCTTTTTTTTTTTAAATTTATTTATTTGAGAGAGACACAGCAAGAGAGGGAACACAAGCAGGAGGAGTGGGAGAGGGAGAAGCAGGCTCCGCCCCCCGCCCCGCCCCCGGATGCGGGGCTCAATCCCAGGACCCTGGGATCATGACCTGAGCCAAAGGCAGACGCTTAACGACTGAGCCACCCAGGTGCCCCAAACTTTAGGTTTTCATACAGTGTCCTTTCATGTTTCCCATGCAGAAGTTGTCATGCTGACTCACTTCTGCCAACACGTGTCCCGTTTGTCTCATGGGTTGGGAGGCCCCGTGGTCCACTCGCTCCTGGCTGATGGACTCCGTCAGGCCTGTGGCCCCCGCTTGGCCGGCCAGTGGCGTCTCACCACCGTGCTTTTTCAGGCTGTGGGGCTGCTCTTGCAGTCCAGGAAGCCAACTCCTGCCACGCCACTGTGGCCCTTGAAACTAAACTGCCCGTTTGGGACATTCTGGACCATTTACAGGCTAACAATGGTGCTCTTGTTGGAAAGACTGCCTAACAATGGGCCAATAGCCAAGGTATTCAATGCCCATTTCACAGCCTTTGTCATCCTCAGGCTGTCCATATCACTCAGAGGTGGGATGGATTTTTAAAAAATCACCTCGACAAAGACCTGTCACCATCCCCTCCTGCTCCATACACTTCAGTAAGGAGTTTGTTCACTGACTGTGGCTGTCCGTAGAAAAGGGTTACTTCTAGGCCATCTCTTGGGGAAAGATCAGGTCAAAGGGATTGGGAGCTACATAGTCTATTTTGAAACTTGGGATTCTTTTCTCCTCATTTCTGCATATGATGCATCTTTCTCCCCTCCAGCGTCAAGCCCAGGCCCACCTGATTGGTGCACCTTCTCGGTAGCTGGCCGACCAGACGGGGGCCTCGGGGATTGAAATTAATTTTGAAGAGTCTGCCTGGATTCTTCCTTGGACTGACTGGTCCTACATGAAGACAGTGACCACTTGGGCATTGAGTGCCCTGCTTGCTGAGTCTCCCTGCAGTGGTCTGCATGGTGCGTGGAACTTGGTAAACACACCAGCTGCATTCACACGTGAGCCAAACGAAAGGTCTGGGGGTGAGTAGGTGATAGAAGAGGTGCAGCTCTATCTACTGGGATGGGAAGTCCTGGGGTGGGGGGGAACCCCTCAGATCCGGGACGGTAGGAGGTGCAACCAGTGCTCCGTCCTCTGGATCCAACGCCACAACCTGCCAGGCCTCTGGCCCGCTGCACCCCGTACCTGGCGACGTGGCCCGTCCTGGATGATGGTGCCGTGCCTGGTGCCAGCAGCAGCAGAGCTTGAATGTGGGCCCCACCCTAGACACAAACGTGGACCTGCACGGCCTTGTTCCACCCTGGCTGATGAACAAAATAACAAAGTCACACTTGTGACGCCCAAGCAGCGCCAGGGCTGTGCCACGGAGAGTGGTTGGGGCTGCGACCAGTCGGGGGCACCGCCCTGTGGTGGTGGTCAGCGTCAGGCTTAGTAGGTCCTCAGCTGGAGCGCCCTGTGCCCCAGCATTCCGTGTGTTTGCACGTGGGACGGAATGAGCCACGGTGTCTCCCCGGTGCGCATGAGGGTTGCTTTGGGGCCTTGTCATTGTTGGTCACGACACCAAAGAGCTGCAGGTGAGTCTGAAGTCCCTGGTGTGGGTCCTAATGGGTGATAGACTAGTCTCCTAGTCTCCGACTACATCCTGGCTGGCTGAAGTATGCCCGCTCCTTCATGGCTGGAAAGCTCCGGGACCTGGACGGCGGGTTGGCCTATCTGCAGGACTCGCTGCTTCTTGGGAGTCCTGTTCCTAGGTCGCTTTAATTAAACGCTGTGTGAGAGAAACGGAATGAATTCGCTCTCGGGCTGTTAGATTAATCAGAGTGGCCTATTTGTGTGAAAATTCACCAGGAGGGGTGGATTGTTGGCAGAGACAGGCCTCCAGCGGGGGTCTGTCACGCTGCTACAAGGCTTCCTGGGCGTGCCAAGAATGTGTGAGCCTGACAGCTGTTCACCTGGGCCGGTTCTCAGGCTGGGCCTGCAGCGAGCACCTTGAGGGACGAGAGAATGGCTCCCTCTAGGACACACAGGCTTGCCTGCTGCTTACCGGCAAGTGGCAGGTTCCCCAGCTCACGGGGCCAAGAAGACCACATGCTGATGCTCCCGGTGCTTGCTGTGAGTAATAAGCTTTTTGTCTCTGACCCGGGAATCTCCAGGCCTCTGCCAGCATTTTGAAAAGTTACCAGCTAACTTGTTAGCTTGCAAATAGAGTGAAAGCAAATCCCGGACACAACAGTCAGCTGGTGGTGGCCAAGCTTGGCTTTCCACAGCCAGACTGTCCACCCCTTGGTCCATCCCAAAGGGTGGTCCGTCAAGATGTTCTGATCATTAGTGTTCCAGAATGTCCAGGGCCAGGGCAGCACTTCGGTCTTGTGGGAAAGGAAACTGAGTCCCTACGTACTGTGTGCTTAAAAGTCATCCATCTCCTAGGATGTGGTTAAGTTCAAAGAAAACATTCCAGTCCAGGGATTATGATGTTTATGGGACCAGGGCACTCCGTTTGTGTAAACTTCAGGCAAGAGACGAAAGCAGGCCTTGAGCAAATTGCTTTTCCAGGGAGCCATGTCAGTCGTCAGATGTGTAGGAGCGCAGCATGCCCATGGAGGACCGTGTCCCAGTGGCCCACTGCTTGGTCCTACCCCACCTTGGCTTCCCTGGCCACTGAAGTTGGCATCCAACAATCTCTTCCTAAATTGCAGTGACTAAGTACAAACTTCAGGGTCAGGGTGAGCCTCCAAAGAGTGTCTGCTGGTGAAATGCTAGAGAAAGGGGAAGCTGAGCTAGTAGTGAATGGCAGCATCACAGGCCAGGTGGGAACACAAGTCCCTTTTTCCTACAAAGGAGAAGGCATTGCTTACACCCTTAGGACTGAGTCATGTTAGGCAGAAATAAGGAGGAAACAAGCAGAGGAGGACAGAGCTGTTAGAGGTCAGGGGCAGGCTGGGCCTGGGGAGGGACGTAAGCTACTGTCCCTGCCCCTAGTAGCTGGCTAGGGGACTACTGAGGGCAGGGGCTCTTTTCCGAAGAACAGAAGGCTGGACGTGCTCATCTTAGGCCCTCACACCTGCTTTTCATCAAGCATTTGGGTTCACCTTCCCAGCTTTAATCTGGCCTTCATTTGTAAGTCTTCTGGGTTAGAGCAAGGGAATTGAGGGTATATTCACTGCCACCAAGAGGGAGTAGTGACCGACAGGCTCCCACGTCCATTTACCCTTCCTTTCAGTAAAGTCCCCAGGTTTTCGCTGGGTACGCGGCTGCCCAGCTCGGAGCTGTATTCTCCTAGCCTCCCCTGCTGCTAGATGTGACGTGTGTCTGACCTGGCCAAAGGGACAGGTGCTGCTTCCAGGTGCAGTCCTTAGAAGGAATTGGTGTGCCCTCTCCTTGCCCTTTCCCTTCCCTCGAATCCGATGGTGGAGGCCGGCTTCCCTCTCTGTTCAGGGCAACACCCGGGAAGGATGCAGAGCAACCAGTTAGGAGCCCGGGTCCCTGGGTGTTTAGGGGAGAAAAAAGTGGAGCTATCTTGTTAAGGCTCTTTCTGGTCTCTGTGAAAGTGGCCACATCCTAACTATGATACAGGAGTGAATAGAGGGGAATTTGGAGGATCAGGCCGTGCTCTTCCCCGGGCCCATTCACACTCCCCACAATCTTAGCCAATTAGTAAAGAGCTACTTCCTCTTGGGTCTAGAAGGCCTACCGCTACCGATCTGCAACCTATTAGCCCAGTGTCCTTGGGCACGAAACCAACTTTTTGAGGCTCAACTGCCTCATATACAACATGGGATCTTAACTGCCAGGTTCACAAGTAAGCATATGAGATCGTGTTCGTGAATAATAAAAACTCACATTTGCTAGCATCTATTTACCTTGTTGCCAGGCAGGCTCCAGACACAACCGTCACTTTATGAGGTAAGTCTTCCACTTTATAGAGGACAAAACTGCGGTGCAGACTGGTTGACTTATTTATCCACAGAGCAGTAAGAGGTAGAGTGAGGATTCACCTGTGAGCAGACTGACCTCCACAACCCAAACTCTTAGCCACTCTGTGCTTGCTCTGACCTGCCGTTACATTAGCAGAGGGCCTGGCATCAGGTAACCTCACTAACTCACCAAATGATAGCACCAAATTCTGAGTCACACTGTTCTGGGTGCTGAGCAAAGCAGATGAGGTCCCTAACCCTCATGGAATTTGTTTTGCTTGGAAAAACACTTATATCCTGCATCCACTTGTGGCTAAAGCCACAATCATCATTCACCACCTCTTCTTATTCAGAGTAAAGATCAAAGGTCTTTGATGTACAAGTCCTCTACTCCTCCACCCCTCCCATCCTTCCTCCTCTCCTGTCTTTCCCTCCATTCTCACTGCCACTCTGAAGTTCTTGCAGTTCTTCATTACTCAGGTACATTCTTGCCTCAGGACCTTTGCACTTGCTATTCCCACTGCCTAGAACACTTCCTCCATGTGTTTGCATGGTTTATCTCCTCATCTTCAGATTTTTAAAAGACAACCTTTCTTTTTTAAAGATTGTATTTATTTGAGAGAGAGAGCGCACAAGAGGGGAGAGTGGCAGAGGGAGAGGGAGAAGCAGACTCCCCGCTGAGCAGGGAGCCTGACGTGGGGCCGGATCCCAGGACTCTGAGATCACAACCAAAGGCAGATGCCCAACCGACTGAGCCACCCAGGCGCCCCTCATCTTCAGATCTTTATTCAAAAAAGACTTGCCTGAAGCTTTCCCTGGTAACTCTTATCTAAAATCCAACCTCTCCCCAACATACCATGTAGTTATTACCTAGCTCCCTTTCTTGCTATATTTCTCTTCTTAGCACATATTACTTTTCAAAATCAGCTTTTATTGAGGCATAAGTTACATAAAACCCATTTCAAACGTACACTTCAGGGGTTTCTAATAATTAAAAAATTTATTTTTAGAGGTTGGGGGAGGGGCAAAGGGAGAGGGAGAGAGAATCTTAAGTAGACTCCTTGCTGAGCGTGGAGCCCAACACAGGGCTTGATCCCACCACACAGAAGTCACAACCTGAGCCGAAACCAAGAGTAGGATACTTAACTGACTGCACTACCCAGGCGCCCCAGTTCTTAATAATTTTTACCAAGTGGTGCAATTTTCAGCATAAATCAGTTTTCGAACGTGTTTTCATCCCCCACAATTAGATCTCTTACGCTCAATTACAGTTAATCCCTATTCCCCATGCAGCTCCCAGCACCCCCTAACCTGCTGCCTCAATAATTCTTCTCTAAACACTTGACACGAACGCTTTCCTACAGCATGCAGTCTTTCGGGTCTGGCTTCTTTCACCTAGCAGAATGTTTTTGAGGTTCATGCATGATGCAATGTCCATTCCTTTGTATGGCAGAGTAGCGTCCCGTTATATATTCACATTTTGTCTATCCACTTACCAACTGATGGGACAGCTTCACCTCCAGTCGTTTTCTAACATTCTGTACATTTTACACCTCGTTTCCCCCACTAGAATGTCAGTCCCGTGAGGCCGGGATTTTTGCTGGTTTTGTTAACCTCTGTATCCCCATCACCTGAACTGTGCTGGGCACATAGTAGGTACTCAACAAATATATGCCGCAGGAATTGATGATGAAGATAACTTATTATCTTTAAGGGCTAAGCTGGTCATCAAGCAGGGGAAAGAGGTTGCCTTGACAGGCAGTGGGGAGCCAGCAGTCAGGGCAGGCCTCTCCGAGGAATGTGCTTTGGGGCAGAGACCTGAGGGCACGCGGTCATCACCATGCCCAGGCCCCAGCCACCACTCCTGCCTGCCTGCTCCTGCAAGTGTGGTGACCCAGCTGCTGGTGGCAAGGCTGGCCGGGGACGGACTTGCAAGGACACTTGGCCACACAGCAAGGGGAGCAGATGGCTCAGCGCCCCCCCCCCCCCAGCCCCCAGCAGTCTGACTGGCCCAGCCAGGCATGGGGAGCCCCTTCCCCTGAGCACCCTCCAGGGAGAGCCAGAGGGGCCAGGGCCTTGGACTTGAGCCACACTGTGTGGGTGTGAATCCCAGCTCTAGCCATTCATACTACATTGGCCCCTCAGCATCTTACTTGTTTGGTCCCTCAGTGTTCTCATCTGTAAAATAGGGATAGTAACAATACATTTCTTCTAATTAAAAAAGCCAAAACATTATCTTAAGCACGTAGTCTGTGCCAGGCACAGTTCTAGAAACTAATCCATGACAACAACCCCATATGGAGGCTGCCATGTACAGATGAAGAAACACGCATAGAGAGGCAGAGTGACTTTCCTGAGCTCACCCCACTACTGAGTGGGTCTTCAAATTCAGGAGGCGGATTCCAAGTTCACGCTCTTCACCCCTTCAGACACTGCTTCTCACGCAGCCATCCAGGAGTTGTTAAAGCGAGCTAATGTGCGTGAGCCCTTTGGAACAGCGCCAGGCCCGCAGTGAGTACACGGAGTGCTGGTGTTATGATGGGGCACAGGGCACAGGGAGACCGCCTCCCTCTCATTTCTTCAGAAGCAGGCATCTGACCCTTCTGCGGGAAGCGGTGACAGCTCCAGCCCTCCCCCCAGAAATCTACAGCTGCCCACACATTCCCCCCTCACTTGCCAAGGCTCACCGGGTGGAAATTTAGCAATCAGCTGTCCACCCACCCCATTTCCCAAGAAGAAAAGTTGGGTGGTGCTGGGGAGGGGCTATGAGTCAAGGCTAAGGACTCTGAGCCACGTTGGGTGGGGCTCCTCCGAAGTCCTTGGGCAGGCGGTTCCCACTGCCCCTCCCCAGGCCCTCCCCCTGCCCTCCGGGCCCTTGCGGTCCTCCCCACAAACCTCCTCTCACCACCATGGAGTTCGACCTGGCCGCAGGTGCGCTCCTGGGAAGTGGGGCTCTTGAGGCACAGGGGGCCAGGCTAAAACCCAGAAACCTCCAAGGGCGCACGCGCTGCACCTGCACCAACCCACCCAACTTTTCTCCCCAGCCGTCGACTCCAAGGAGCCCCAGGGGACAGGCCAAGTGGGAGACCACAAACACAGCCCCCACAAAGTTCGGGCCGCGTCAGAGGCGGGGGCGCCTGATAAACCGAGGGTAAGTCACCTCAGGAGCCCGCACATCCCTCCCGGTATCGGGGGGTGGGTGGGGAGTAGGTAGGCCTTTGAACCCAGGGCCCCGCCGAGCCTGGGGCTTCCAACTTAGGGCGGGGGCTGGGTCAGGGGTCCGGCCCTCACTGCCTCGCCTCCAACGAGCAGGGTGGCGGTCACCGCAGCTCCTCAGACTCCAGCAGCGACAGCTCCAGCGACTCGGACATGGAAGCAAAGGTAAGAGGCTCCCCGCAAGCAGCCGCCCCAGGTGAGGGGAGAGCCCGGGGCCATCGTCTCAGCGGCAGACCCCTCGCTCTCCCCTTCCCTCCCCTCCGCCCTCGGCCCCACAGCCTCCCGCGGCCGCCTCCGAAGGGCACAAGAGCACGCCGGCCAAGGTCAAGAAGCCCAAGGCGAAAAAGAAGAAGGAGAAGAAAGGCAAGGCGAAGAAGGAGGCTCCTCACTGACGGGCCGGGCGAGGCTCATTAAACCTTCTCTCGACTCTCTGGTCGCCTTCTGGTCGCCTTCTGGTCGCGAAGTGCGGCACCGGCCCCGCCCCACCCATCCCCCTTCCCGGGCCGGGCCTGCCCCCTGCCGGGCGGCCGCGCCAAGCACAAGCTGCCTACGCCGTGCCCATCACGGTTTATTGTTTCCGGAACAGCGGCCGCTCTGCGGGGCGGCCGGTGCAGCTGGACAGGTCGGCACCTCGGCCCGGAGGGGGTGGGGGGTGGCGTCTCGGGATCGGGGCGGCGCCGGTGTCCCCGCGGGCGGGCGGGCGGAGGGGCGGCGGCGGCCGCGCGGAGCAGCAGCTGGCGGCGCGGGCCGGGCCGCCCTCACCGCACCAGGTGGAAGGTGAGCCAGTACATGAGCAGGGGCTGCGCCGCCGCCACGGCCATGGTCAGGTACATGCGCAGCTGGTTCCGGGCCCCGCGCACCGGGACGCCCTCGGCCGCTGCCTCCGCCAGGATCTTCAGCCGCAGCGTCCGGATCTGGGGCGGGAGGGGGTGCACCCTTGAGTCCCGGGCCGGGCGCGGGGGCCTGGATGTACTTCCAAGCCCTGCCTCTCTCCCTCCTCCGGGGCGGCTGGGCTCAAGTATCTCTGCTCCAGGGGAGCCTAGGTTCCCCCCACATCTCCTTTAATAGATGGTGAGGACTTGCTCCGCCCCAAGGCTTGGGAGCAAATGTGCGGGTTGCAAGCTCAGGCAGCAGGCGAGGCCCCTGAATGAGATGCGGAGCTGCATACCCTGCCTGGGGAGAGTGCCTGCGGAGGGTGGCAAGCTCAGCTGGGCCGCTGTCACCCCGCTTATGAGGGCCGATGACAGTTTTCAACACAAGCCAGAAAGGATTTTTTTTTTTTAACTTTTAAATGACATCTAAGTCAAAGTGTATCTGAGGGTCCGATTTGGCCAACCAGTTTTTGCCCTCTGCTCCTCACATATGCTCACACTGCCTCCGCCCAGGACCCTGAGGTGCGTTTATCATCATCCCCCTTTTTTACAAAAGGGGAAGCAGGTTTAAAGAGAGGAAGGGATTTGCTGGGGACCCAGAGAAGCTACTTCAGGGGTACCAAAACTTTTTTCATCCTCACAGAAATTCTGGCAGGAAAGCCCACCATGGAAGAGTGGGGTGAAGGTGAGAGCCTACCCCAACAGCCCAGCTGGCTCCTTCTCTTTCTTCCAGCCCCAGCTTAGACACCTCCTCTTCCAGGAAGCCCTCCTGACCCCCAGGCTGGGACAACTACTTTAAGGCTCCTCAGTTCAGCAACGTGGCTCTCGTCTCAACTCCTCCCCTGACATCCTCTGTTTGGATGCCTCCAGGGGACCCCGACTCTGAGGGCTTGTGCCCTCAAGCCTCATCCTCCCCTGAGCCCCAGCTCACCATGAACACAAAGATAGACACGCAGCACCAGCCCAGCACCAGGTAGTAGCCAATCTTCCCAAAGAGCAAGCCCATAAGGACCCCGCCAATCATCCTGGGAAGAGAGGGGAAGGCTGGTCTGAGGAAGAGGCCTCGGGGCTGGGGCTGGGGGCGGGGGGGGAGGGGGAAGGAATGGGGTACTCACCCAACATATTTGTAGCCCAAGAAGGCCACCAGATCGAGAGTGGTGAGGTCAGTGTTGACAGTGACCAGGTAGAGACTGAGCAGGATGGCCAGCACCTCCAAGGTCAGCCAGGCCAACGCAGAGCTTGCCTGCAGCCCGAGGAGGTCTGGGGAGAACCTGCCGGCACCAAGCTGTCACTCCGATGGCCGGCTCACACCCTCCCAGAGCATCCACCTGGGGACACCTGTGTTGGGTGGGGCTAGAGACTCCACAGTGACCAAGATGGATCTGGACCCTGTCCTCATGGAAATCTCATGCCAGGGAAGGCAGACCTGTCCTCAGTGATGGCCCCGAGAGGTCAGGGCTGGGATGAGGGGAGCGCAGGGCAGGGGAGGTGCCTGACCCAGTCGGGAAAAGGTGTCAGAGAGGGCTCTCCAGAGAGGGCATCTGAGCCGAGGCCTGAAGGAATAAGGAGCTGACTTGCAAAGAAGGACCACGGCCTCTGCCATATCCCCAGTGCCCCAACAATGAACTGATTCTCATGAGAATTGTTTTCGATGCCACAAAAGAAAGAAACTGGAGCGTAGGAGTGAGACATGGGGGGCTTGACCCAGTTGGAGGGTGGGACGGCTTCCCTGAGTAAGTGATACCAGAGTGGAGACATCGCAGGTGAGCAGGTGCTCAGCAGGTGATACAGGGGAGGAACATACTCCTGAGCAAAGGGCACTGGATGTGCAAAGGCCCTGGGGTGGTGGCGGGTGGCACCAGGCCCTCTGGAGGATGGAAAGAGGCCTAGTGCGGCGAAGCAGAGTGAGGAGGAGGGGCAGAGAGAGGCTGCGCAGAGGCAGTGCGGTGCGCGAGAATAAGGAGCCAGGGCTAGATCTGGGGACGGGAGAGCCCTGGGCAGCTTCTAGCAGGGTGGACATGGCCAGACCCACATCTCAGACCAGATCTTCCTGGCTGCGGTTGGGAGTCAGGGTGCAGGGGGTATGTGAGCAAGGCAGCTGGTTAGGAGGCAGTGAGGATGGGCCAGATCTGGTGGTAGAGGCTAAGAAGAAGGATGGAGTTAGAGTCACCTGCCACAGGTGTGGTGATGGGCTGCACGTGGGTGGAGAGCAAGGGGAGAGGTGAGGGTGACGCTGACCGTGACCCCAAGGGCTCTGTCCTGGGCCAACTGGGAGCATGGTGGGGCTGCTCCGAGACAGGAGATCCAAGAGACCTTCCTGACTGCCCCTCCGCCACCCAAACCTCACCCCACTTTGCCTATTCCAGGCCTCCCTTACCTATCCTGGGTCCCCAGCGCCAGGCCAGCCACCAAGACATAAGTGATGAAAGCCATAGCTGTGGGAGGCAGACACACAGACACTGGTCAGAGGAAGATGGACCATCCTGGGCCACTAGGCACCTAACCCTCTGCCCTAGACGTGCCCACCCAGAGGGAGGAGGGTGTGGGGCGGTGACGGGGAGGGGGAGACCTGGAATGTAGAGGTCAGGAGCGTTGATGTCAAAGCGGGGGGCCACTGGTGTGTCCTGCTGGTACTGCACTTCCCAGTCCTGTGGGGAGAGTGAGGGGAGCAGGCGTGGGACCCCCAGAGTGGGCTTCTCCCACACTGCTTCCAGGCCCTCTCTTGGGGCAAACCTATCCACCCCCGCCCCTGCCCCTCACACCTGCCCGGCTTCTGACTCACCCTCTATCCCCACCCCTCCACCCGCCCCCCCAGACTTTGCCCCTCCTCAGACAGTGCTCCCCTCAGTGGGCGCAGTGCTGACTGACCTGGTGCAGGTAGGGGAAGAAGAGCAGGCCCAGCTTTTTGCCCACATACATGGTGTCCACAGCAAAGTAGTACTTGAGCTTGGTGACGGGGATGAAGCGGTCAATCTGGGGGGAGGCAGAGCCCAAGCCTGAAGCCCTGGCCTCACGTCCCCACCCCCCACCCCCCCACACAGCCACCCCGCCCACTCACATTCTTATCTACCAGCTCCTTGCCCTGGGCGGCCAGGCTGCTCCCATAGGCCATGGCCATGTTGGACACAGGATCCGCCAGGAAGGCAGCCTGGGGCGAGGCAGAAGGCGCAGGGTAGCCCAGGCCGCCGGGTGCCCGCTGGGCCCCATAGCCCCGGCTCTGGGCCGAACTCGTGTCATCGAAGAGCTGGTGGGGGTCGGCCATGCCCGGCTGGGACACCGGGATCCTCCGCTTGGACGCTGCAGGGGAAGAGGAAGGGGAGCTTTGTTCAGGCTGCAGGGCTCTCCTTCCGCTGTAGCGAAGCACTGGTTTGGAGGTCAGATGGGCGCCGAGGCAGGTGCGGGCCCGGCTCTGTCTGCCTGGCATCTCTCCATCCAATCACCACAGTAACGTCGACAGCTACTATGTGCTGGGCCTACTGTGCACAGGATCCTGTCCTGAGCCTTTTACAAACACAGTCTCTGTCAGCGTCTCCCCTTCGTGCTCCCCTCGCTGGTTGGCTCCAGCCACGTGGGCTTCAAAGTTCAGCAAACACGCCAGGCACATTCCCACCTCAGGGCCTTTGCACTGGCTGTTCTCTGCCTGAATCCTTCCCCTGCCCCATGGCTCCCTCCCCTCCTCGAGGTCTTGGCTCTACAGTACCTTCCCTACCACTGTCTACGACCACACAGTCCTGGGCAGCACTCCCCACCCCCGTTCCCTGCTGCACTTATATCCAGAACTCTGCACCAGCTGACAGGCTGGTTGCTTTCTTTATTTTGTTCACTGTCTCCCCACTAAAATGGGAGCCCCCCAGGTGGGGAGCTTGGTCTTGTTCATGCCTGGATCCCCAGCCCCTGACAGAAGGCTAGAGTAGGGGGCTGATGAAACTCTGAGAAATGAGGGCCCACCCCATGTTACAGAGGTGGTGACCAAGGCCGGGACAGGGGAAATGACCTGCGTGCAGGGCTGTAGCCCAGGTGCCTGCTCGATGGTGGTGGTGGGGTGGGGGCAGGAAGAGGGGAGGAGGGAGGGAGCTGCTCCAGGGTTGGGGGAGAAACAGGGATGGAGGGGAGGGGGCTGGGCTGCTTCTGGACGGAGTTTGGAGGGACAGGACCTGCTGGAGGCGTGCTTAGTGGGGGTAGGGTAAGGACGAGGGAGGAGAAGGGGAATGTGGAGAGGACAGATTTGAGCCCAGCACCCTGGCTCCGGGGCCCGTGCTCCTAACACCACAGCAGACAGTTACTGAGCTCCTCCTGTGTCCCAGGCGCCACTGTGGGCCCAGGGAATGGGAGACAGGGTTACAATCGGGTGGGGGAGAGGAACCAAATAATCCACGTCCTGACTCTGTCCGCACCTCAATTCTCTCTTCTGTGGGACAGTTCATGGCCCAAGGCCAAATGACGCTTATAAACTCCTCAGCCCCTGGCCTGTCGATCCCTGTCACCTATTGTCAATGACTAGTCCCTTGACTGTTCCTCTC